AAAAATACAAGTGTAAAAGGAAGAATAATGTATATGTGTATTATTTTCTTATCATGTTAGGCTATTTTAAGCAAATTATTTTCTGGGAAAAAGAAATATTGTTAGCAGGAAAGTATTTTAACTATCCAAGATTTTATGTCAATAACATTAATCATATCTAATAATCCATGTCTCATAGCTAATACCCAGTTCTTTTATGTTAGATGGTATTTTTTTAATTGCATCTCATAGAATTTACATGCTGTACTACTTTGTTTTATAGAGAGGAATGGTTTATGTATCTCTTTGGTGGGGACTGGGGATGGTGGAAGTGCCCTATGTGAGCCCATTGAGAAAGTTATGTAAACCCTAAATAAGGACACAAAAACTGCTATACCTAGAAGGTTTCTGAGTAAGCCATTCAGCATGAATTCACTTTTTATGATAACAGTCAAGTTATCTTGTTGTTTAGACAATTCATTCCCCAAACCTTCTCAGAGTGCTTACTATGTGTACAGCATTCTGCTAATCCTGCTGAAAAAATGCTTTACAAGTACTTTACCTTTCTGAAGCATTTCCTAAGAGTTCATTTATGAACATTGTTTTATTCAGTTTCCCTCAATACTCAAGAGAGAGACAGAGTAGCTATTATTATTCCAGTAAAGTGCCTTTCCCAGAGTCTCAGGGCTAGGAAGGTACTGAACTAAGTCTAGAATTCAGGTCTTCTTATTCTGAGTGCAGTAGTATTCCATGAGAGGGGGGATAACACACATCTAAAATAAAGCTAGGCACTTACCAGAAAACTTACTATAACTATGGAAAACATTGATATCCAGTTTGTTGAAGGAGTGAATACCAATTAAGGAAATATTCCTCTTGGCTAAGAATGCAATTATAGTGCCCTTTAACAGATAACATTTATCAAACATTTACTATGTGCCAGACACACTGCCATGGGCTTTACTTGCATTATCACATTGAAGCTGTGAGAGAATCTCTGAGCAATAGAGTAATTTTCCCAAGTTCAAAATTTAATAAGTGGCAGAGCAGGGGTTCACACAATTCTGTGTCATACCAAAACCTGTATATACTCTTTCAGCACTCTTTTCTGCTGTCTTCCTCTATAGTCTTTCCTATTTCCCTTCCTTATTTCTTTAAGAGAAAAAAGAGGGAGGGGAGGAGGTACTGTCAGGCATGAAGAAGGAAGGAAGCAAGCCATCCATGCGTTCATTAGCTCACCCAAATACAATCGGCTGCCCTAGTGCCCAGCTCAGCTCTGGGAATGCCCTTAGGCGTGACTTCCAAGAATGTCAAGTGATAGTTCAGAGACATGAGCAGAGTGCTAATGAAGCAAAACTAAACAGTGGCAGAACTAATGAAGAAAGGCTTAACCAAGGAGAAGGCATTTGAACTGTGTCTAAAAGTATCTTTCCAGGCAAAGAAGAATGAGCATCTGTAACAGAACAGGCAGAATTATGGGAAGTATTCCGGTGTAGGAAGAAATGTGAGGTTAATGTCATAGAAGCACAGAATTCAGCATAGGAGGTGGAATCATGCTCTGAGTAGACCTCTGCTGAAACAAGGAAATTGGACTTTATCCTCAAGGCAGCAAAAGTTAACAGGCACTTTGAACAGCAAAGTTAAATATGCTTCCATTTTTAGGAAGTCTTAACTGGCAGTCTTATGTTGGATGAGCAGGACCCTTAGTCCAAGTGAAAGCCAATAAAGAACTGGACTTGAGTGGAAGGATGATATTTCCTCTATTATTTCCGAGTCATAAATAAAAGTTACAGTAATCTAGCAACTGCTCTAATGAGCGTATGTGACCAAGAAATGTAAATGACTTAGCAGTGTTGCCACTCCCACAGAGAGTGAACAGAGAGCCTCTTATTAAAGAGCCCTCATTTATTCATCCATTCAACAGATAGTTATTGAGCTCCCACTATGTGGCATGCAGTATGCTAGATGCACAACACTTGGAGTGTTGTGTTAAGCACTGGTTGTGGGAAAGTTGTTTTGAAGCAACACATAACACAATTTATTCATAAAGCCAAAGAAAGCAGCAAAGAAAAGGCAGTGTCAAACAAGTGTCAAAGAAAACAAAAAAAGAGAGAGTAACTCCCAAGAGAGAAAAAGTGAAAATGAGGTTTAAGCTTAAGAAAGCAAACATCTGCTGTAAGTAACCATTTCATTAAAACTGCACTAAATTGTGGGAGTTCTCTCTCAGGAACTGCACACTGTGGGCTGAGATTAAGTGTAATGGGCTCCCACATGAATTCTTCTCATTACTTCTCTAGAAAGATCAGTAAATCTCCTGAAAGGGTAATTTAGGTTTAGTGTTCACAATTCATTCATTTTACTTTTAATCTTCCCTTTTTAGAATTGTAAAAATATAATGCAGATATAATCCAAAAGAGGAGGAATGGGCCCCAAATGAGACAATTTCAACTCCTCCAATAGTCTTGTCATTAGTAGATATACAATAGACTGTAGGCTTTTATTCCTGATGATGGTGATGGAGCTTCAGCCAGTTTCTAGAGCATTGCATGCTGTTAATTGCAGGAACCAAGGAAAGGACAACATGGAAAAGATAATCTATGTTTTACCCTTCTGAATCCCTTGGACCTTTATGTGATTTTCAATGAAGCCTCTTCTTAATCCCATTAAGTTTTCTTTCACTACAATTCAATGAAAAGGACAAAAGTTTTAAGACTTTTGTCCAGGAAAAATAGAAGTCAATTATTTGGGAAGAAAAAGATCTGGAAAAAAAGGCAATCAATTATTTAATCACGAGAATGTGATTTTATGAGATAATTTTGTCAAAAACGTGAGCCTGAAAAATGACTTACAATCATTACTTTTTCTGTTGTTAAACTATCACCAATCAGTTTGTAAAACTGGAAAACAAGCAAGTAAAAGAACAACAAAACAAACAAAAAACTCCAGTAACTAAGATTACAGTCTTTCAGACGTGTTACTTCTGGAAATAGTAAAGTCCTCTCTGATTTTCTAGGCATCTCCTTGGCTTTTTCATTAAACATAGGCCCTATTCTAGGCCCATGGTGTGCACATTGATTCTTAATTTAGCAGAGTACCCTACTAGGAGAGCATCTTAGAAATCCATGGGTAAAAGGAGATCTTTACATCTAAGATGGATCCATACTATATAAATTGGTAAATATATTTAAGCTCATTTAGACAGTATTATATTATGTAGATTTGAAACTGAGCCATGGCTTATGATGTTTACAGTTTGCTTTTGTTTCCCAAAGTGAAATCAAAGGTTTTTTTTAAGGTTAATTTCCTTTTCAGGTTTGAAAGAAGTGATCACTTAGTCTAGTACAGATGAGAAAATGAAATTTGAGTAACAATTTTATCTAAGGAAATTAGCAGTGGAGGATATTCATTGGACAAATATCACATTCCTTGAAATTATTGTTATAACATTGTAATGCATTCTCACCAAGAAGCATTCCCTTGTAAATGACTGAACTAGACCATGTCTTAACAATTATTTCATGAAAGGAAACGTCAACACCCTTAGAAGTTCCTATCATAAGACTAATGGGAAGGAAAAATAACAAACAAACCAGAAATGAAATACCAGAAAGAAATGGCTAAAACATAGTATACAGTTAATTGATTCATTAAAAGAAACACACATCATTTGAGAGGTAAAAATTTCCAATGACTTCTCACCCTTTTACGAATGCTAAGAAAATGCTAAGAAAAAAAAAAAGAATCCAACAGATTTCCAGAAATTCCTCTCATTTTCATGATTTTTATATAGTCCATTAGTTTATTTCAAAATAAAGGTGAACAACTAAAGTCTTAAATACTCATCAGGCCACTGCCCTATAAGGACAAATACACCATTTTTTAAGATAATTCACCCATTCCATCAACAAATTAAAGATCTCTAATCTGGGGTGCTTCTCCAATCTGGGGTGCTTCTCCATAGCTTGCATTAAACATTCTTTCACGTGCCCAACTACCGTTGGAGAGGAGTGTTGAGTTCTTTGAAGATGTCATTTCATGCTGCATGCGTATACTCATTCCAGTGAATTGTTTTTGATTACAACATGGAAACTGAAGAGCATATTGGAGTTTCACTATGTCATTCTCTGAAAAGAATACCTCATGCGTTGTTGTAAATATCAGCTCTTTACACATTCATGAAAATTGAAATCTATCTTTCCTGTTAAAGTAAATGAAAGACAAGATTAAGTAATGAAAGGTTGTACCAGTCATACTAAAGTGTAGGATCAGCACTGATCACATGAACTAATACATCTAAAAGATAATCTCCCTGATACTTATTGATCTCCTTAACTGCAGTTGTTCTTCAACTGTGTTCTAATCATCGTGCTTCCAACAAGGATCAAATGTTTTGAGGTGCCTTTGTGCTCTGTAATTGCATTGATTAAGAGAGATTCAGGCTGACCCTACTCCTGATGGTGGTGGTTATGGAAGGAATAAATCTCTGTGAAGTGAAAACACATGGTTTTGGGACCAGCACTCTTGCATCTAAGCACTACTTCATTCTGTTGCCCACAGTGTACTTATGAAAGCAGCCATTCAATAAAGCCACACAAGATAATATTTTGACTACTGTTGCCTCATAATTAATTTCCATGTGTTGTTATTCCTTTCAATACTGCTTTCTTGCCACAAAAATAATCCTGTCTCTGAATAGCAAAGCAACAATTTTTGCTCACTGATTATTTTTCCTGTACTTTTAAAGATATGAATTTGTTTGTGCATATTTAAATATTTTTAAATATTGTAGCTGCTAACTTATTATATTCAATATTAAATGTTCGAACCCGTTATTAGCAATTGTTGAAAGCATAGCTTCCATGTGTTCCTTAAATTAGGGTATGTTTGATTTCTGAATTGTTGTAATATAAATTGTAAGACCAAAAATGGGCCCTTTGACTGAATATGCAAAGTTCCCCTTAAACCACCTTGAACTAGGCAGATTTGCAACATTTTAAACTGGCACTTCATCCCTCTTTCAGCAAGCATCCTCTGCAGATTTAATGATCAGGAACATCCTTCTGATGCATGCTGGGAGATATGGCTGCAGGGTACAGACCACAGCAGACAGTGTGTCAGATGAGGCAGAACTTCTTGTTAGGGGTGAGTATGCTAATAGTGCAGTCTGAAGACATGATCACCATAAATTATCATACAAAGGAATTTAAATGCATGGACTTTGAGCACATCAGTACTGTGCCTTTTACTTTCGATTTTACAATATATGTCATTTTTGCTTAACCTTTTGCCTTTGAAAAGATTACATGGAAACTTGCTCCTTAGAAACAGACAAAACCTACAGAGCCAACTTCAGGTCCAAGACACCTTTAGTACTAAGTTGTTACTAGATGTTTACCCAACTTAATGCCAAACAGAAATTTTCAACAGTTGAGTCACAAAGACACTTTGACACTACAGAGACAACACTTTTTTTTCTATGTATGTGTTTTTCAAATGCAAAGCTAGTGGAACCCCCAGGCACTTTTTTTCCTCCACGAACTTCTAAATTCTACTTCGTGAAACAGGAAAACTGTGTGCCTAATATGGTGTCATTTGCGACTGTTAACAGGGATTTTTTAAAAGTCTGGAAATGTCAACACAATCTTTCTGTGCAGAAATGACAGTTAAGTGGTTTCCAACCATGAACCAGGCTGCCAGATTCTGTGACCCTATAAAGCTACATCTTATTTGAATTAAGTAAATGACTACAGCACTAATTTCTTTTAGCACATTATTCCCCAGTATGGGAAATGCAGCTCTTAGCATGTAATATTTTCCCTTTTTTTCTTTTTCTTTTCCTTTCTTTCCTTCTTTCTTTCTTTCTTTCTTTTTTCTTTCTTTCTTTCTTTTTCTTTCTTTCTTTCTTTCTTTCTTCTTTCCTTCTCCCTTTCTTCCTTCCTTCCTTCCTTCCTTTCTCTATGTCTCTTCTTCCTTTCTTTCTGCTCTCTTTCCCTTTTCATTTTTCCTTCTTTCTTTCTTTCCTTTTAGCATTTTTATGGAGCAAAAATATACCTGCAGAAAAATTTTAAAATCATAGGTGTACAGGTATACAACTCAAAGAAAAAACATCACAAAGTGATGAAATTACTTTACACCATTATACCATGAAATTACCATTTAAGAGAACTAGAACATTACCAGAATCTCACCTCTCCCTTTTCAATTTTAAACAATCACATTTTGACTGGTGTGAATACTGCATGCTAAGACCCCTTGCATGATCTCTGCAAAGAAAAATTTCACAATCTATAGCAAAAACTTATATCTTAGATTAACTTGTCTTATCCACTTGGAGTGTTTTCCAATCATAATTTTTTTTAAGAATTCATTAATATTATAAAAATCTTGAGCAGGAAATATAAGGTCTATGTAAGCTTCATCATCTCTTTGTTTTAATTGTATGTGTCATCCAAGGTTTATTGATTTTGGGTAGTACATCCACCACTGGTTCAAGTAAAATGTTGTTTTGAAACAAGTGTATATCTGAGTGAGTGACAGCTTGTTCATTTCTTTGTACATGATGGTTCTGTTCAGAAGGTTATTTGAACTCTTCTCCAAATTTATAACAAGAATGTGTATCTGTATTACTCTATTATAAAACATCAAGATTTTAAAGTGCTCAGCCTCTCATGATATTTCATTTAGCTAAAAATTTTCCTTTATGCCTTTAAAAGTTATAAGGCTTATGGAACAGCAAACCCGACGCTGCAGTCAAATTTATAGAAAATTGCTTTCTTCTCTCACTACAGTTTGTTTTAGATTATGTGTATTTATTGTGTAGCACTTGCCTAGTAATTTAGAATGATGCTCCTAAAACTGGAGCTTTCTAAATAAATAACACAATTTAGAGGTTGATAACAAGAAACCAGGTATTTTTACAGGGCCATGAGGGGCATATTTAAGTGGCAAAGTAACATTCTGCTTTGTAAGTAAAATTAAATTCAACAGGGTTTAGAACATAATTCAGGCTTGGCTTTTTTGTGTTCTGCTCTTTTAGCCTTTGGATTTATGCCTAGGAGATGATAAAATGCAGAAATTTGGAATTATACTCAATGGCAATTTCAAACAGGTTGCTATTGTCTGAATATTCATGTAACATGCAGCTCAAGCTTTCCTTTGAAGTGAGTTGCTTCATCACCAATTTTCTATTATATATTTTTATTATTTTTCTAAAATTAATAAAAATAGCTTGCCTCTTCTGCCTGGTTGGTTTTAGGCAGATTTAAAAACTGAACTAAAGGTTCTGGTTCTTATTTTATTTTTACAATTATTTTTTGTAAGTTAATGGTTCCTGATAATTTAAGGAACCTGGATGCTTGAATATTGCTGTTTCTAAGTTTGGCTTGTGAAATGAAACTCAAAATAGTTTTACCCTGCATTCTTCTTTCTCCCACTCCTCCATTCGTTGGTTTGTAAATTTGGGGCATTCTAATAGTACAGGCCACAGGACCAAAGCTGAGAGTTCTAGATGAAGTTTTTCTAATGATGGCTACAATTCCAGCAGCAGAATCCTTAAAGCACACTTATTCAAGTGTGTCATAAAAATGGGAGCAGTAAAGACAATTTCACCATACTTCTTATAGGGTACCTTCTTTGGATTGCCTCAGCAGTTCACTTTGCTCAGTCTTGAGAATGAGGAACATTCTTAGGTGGCAAGGAAATATGTTTTTGTAACTCTGTAATTCTATTTCAGTGGAGATTTAGGGGACTAAAAATCTATATTCTCCTAGATCAGTCTAGGAGATCATCTCCTTTCCCATTAGAGATAGTCTATGAAATTCTTTTGGGCATCTCACAAAATCCTACAATTCTTCACCTGGCCCCATAAGCACACTAAATTGGAGATCAGGTGTGTTGTCCTAAGACCTCATCATTGCCTGTTTAGAATCTGAGAGTCCCTAACTAGTGATGTTCCCTGCTTTTCTTCCCACTCACTGCTTTAAAGCTATCTTTACCCCAAATGCTTGTTTCCACTTTTGCTTTATTTTGCTTGTTTCCACTTTTGCTTTATTTTGCTTGTGAATGTCAGTGCTATTACTCACATCTATCCCACCATTATTATCATCCTCCAAAAATTGAATTTTCCCATAAATAATCATCTGAAGCATAAAATTGCTTGCTCCAACATATTTAGTATTCAGTGAATCAGCCTCATAACATCACCATGCATAATTTGTAGAACCATAATAGAAGTAATGAATATGTTAAAATAAGTTATTTTGCTGGAAAATAAAAAGAAATTAAAGCCACACCTGGACATCTGTGCACAATTTAAGTCACTTATTCAAGTGTGATATAGCAAAAAGAAAGAAAGTAAGTCTAGGCAATGTTATAGGGAACTCTTTAAAGATGAATAAATCTGTATTATATTATCCAAGGTAAAGGAGATAGACCATTAAGAGATAACCTCACTGGGGGGGATACATAATTTGTAAAGAACCGATACTCCCAAGCAATATGAGAGGTAGGTGATCAAACACAACATAAAACACTCCAGAGAAAGGAGTGTTAGTTTTTTGTTATTTTATTTTATTTTACAAAACTGAATGTAAGAAATATGTTTCCCAAAGAGAATATAAAGGTAAGAAACTATCATCATTTAAAGAATAAAATGTGTTTAGCTAATCTAATTGGGAACCAGAGCCTGAGCTCTGTCTATTCTTCCTAGAGGCAAAGGAAACAATAAAAACTCCACTTCTTCATGTAAATTTTTATTCATACTACTCTGTTTATTAATGCAAAACTGTAGATCAAGAAACTCTTGGAATAGTCAAAGAAGAATCAATAATCTCTTGGTTCCTTCTGAACACACAACCTATATACCCTCCTTTCCCCAAACTTGGACAACAAATTTTATTTCTTTAATTACAGTTTACAAGATGAATCTGATGTGTATTAAACTGAATTTGAGAAGAAAGAATCCACATCAGGACACACCTTGTTGAGAAAAATCTAACTGCTTTTAATTATTCATACCTCCTTCCACCCATCACTTCTGATTTAACCTGGAGTTCAAACTGTATTTCAGTCTTACTTGCTTTAAACTTTTCATCAGTTCAATTCTATTTATTCTTTCCAATAAATTTTTTTCTTTGAATAATTTACCTTTAGTCTCTCCTGATCCATCTAGTCACTTTTTATTGTAAACCTGAAATTATTTTTTTATAAATTTATTTACTTTTTATTTATTTTATTTTTGGCTGCACTAGTTCTTTGTTGCTGCTCACGGGCTTTGTCTAGTTGCAGAGAGCAGGGGCTACTCTTCTTTGCTGTGCACTGGCTTCTCATCATGGTGGCTTTTTTTGTTGCGGAGCATGGGCTCTAGAGAGCAGGCTCAGTAGTTGTGACACAAGGGCTTACTTGCTCCTCGGCATGTGGGATATTCCTGGACCTGGGCTCGAACCCGTGTCCCCTGCATTGGCAGGCGGATTCTTAACCACTGCACCACCAGGGAAGCCCCACAAACCTGAAACTATTAAAAGTTTGACTGTTCTGTCAATTAAATAAGTCAACAGGTATTTGTTGATACTTTGCTATTCATTTATTCACTCATCCATTCATCCAGCACCTGCTCTGTATCAAGCCTTGAGCCAGGCAGTTGGAATAGAAAGATGAAGATGCCAAGGTCTCAGCCCTCTGTGTGGCTCTATGTCCACTTGTCCACTAGTATGAGAGGCATCTTTGGGAATGGGGTGAGAAACACAAAGGAAGAAAGCTCCCTGGATAACCTACATCCTTTAGGGGAAATAATGAAATAATTCCCATAGGCATAGCTATAGCACTGGCTTCATAAATTGTTGGGCCCAGTGCCAAATGAAAATGCAGAGTCCCCTGTTCAAAGCTTGATAAGAATTTCAAGGCAGTGACAGCAGAACATTAATCCAAGTATAGGGACCTTCTAAGGAAAGGACCTTATGTGACTGCACAAGTAACACACCCATGAAGCCAGCCTGGCAGAGCTATTAAATTATGTATAAATCTACAGGAAAAAAAGGACTTTAGCAAAGAGGAAGATCAGTTATAACAAAGTTGTCTCACTCTGCTTTCTCATCTATAAGATTAACATATTAAAGACTCCTCAGAGGTTTCACCAGCTTTTTACA